ACTATTGATCTAAGCAAGGACTCGCACCTTTCTTCCACAAAAAATAATATTTATAAACAAAGGTGAATTACTATCTTGCTGGAATTACAGCAGAAAGTTCCATGTCAATCATTCTGTAGACATTGGTGACAACACACAATGACTGAAGGCAGTCTAGAAGCAACAACCTTGCGTCTGCTTCACACGCTTCAGTCGAACCGCATCGCTTTCGTATCTTGGCGAAAATTGGGAGTCAGATAAATGTCATTTAAAATCTGTACAGAAAATGTAGCGAGTTGTCTTACGCGGAGGATGCGACTGTAGTTCGTCTCGGCTTTCCTGTGTGAAGCCGCACCTTGACCCCGAAACCTCCTGCAGACACCGCCACACCTCTCTCCCTCTCTCCTCCAGCACTCCCTCCCACCTCCTTCCAACCTGGTCGTCTGAGACATCTGTCCCCACCTGTCCCCCGCATTGCCTCTCTCCATCTAATCCCTCCCTGAAATACCGCACCCTCGTATGTCCCCGCCACTTTCATCTTTGGAACACCCGATCCTCTCTCTCGCCGCATCGCCCAACCCCTCAGCCATTACTCTTCTCATCACCGCACCCCGTTTTCCTCGCCTGGATCTTTCTCCTCTCTCCCCTTTATAGCCCATTTCTTCCACATCGCTTCCATCTCCGTCCCCTCCACTACTCCGCCACCCCTCTCCACCCCCCACACCTTTCATTCTAGTAACACATGATACCCCTCTTCCTTCGCGTCTCCCATCCCTTCACCAATATTTCCTTTCACCACCCTACCCCGTACTCCTCGCCCCCTTCCATCTCTAAAACTCTGTCGTCTTTCACCGGCCCGGATCTTTCCCCTCGGCGCCCCGTCCTCCCTTCCGCTGCCAACTGCTCCCTGACGCGTCTCCGCAGCCCCTGCAATCTTCTTGCGCGGTTTCCTTTCATTCACCTCGCGCCGCGCAGCCTCTCGACGCCGCCGCCGCCGCCGCCTTCGTGACACCGAGCGGTAACTTTGCGCGCGGGTTACTTCGGGTCGCTCCGCGTTGTCGCGCCTCCTTGTTTCTTCCATCTGGGGCCTTTCTCCCATTAATATGCCATTTCACGCACGCCCTGACTCTCTTGCGACTCTTTCTCTATGAAGCTGCCATGTGCGTTCTCTTAGACAGGTCGTTAATGCGGATGCTGCCCCCACAACTAACGCTCTGAAAGTGATGCAAAGCGCATAAAAAGGCTTCGAGCAAAATAATTTTTTATACTGTGAAAATGACTACCTGCATTGTATTCTCTATAAATATTTAAAAGACGTTTGAATAATATTTAAAATAATATTTAAAATAATATTTAAAAGATTTTTTAAAAATAAATTTCTTTAAATGAAATTTCAATTGCATCGTATATCTCATTTCTGGTCGAACATGTACTACGCTTTTATTAACAAACTGGCAAGACGAATCATTAATAAAGAAAATGGTTTTGTAGCGAAATAAATAAAATCGAAATAAACTTGTTTAGAAGGAAAGTAGAAAGGAAGTCGACTGAGAATACGAACTTCGAATTCAATCAATACAATACCGCACGATGCGACCCGACGCAACGCAATGCTATGGGATGCGACGTGGTGTAGTATGACCGAATACGTTGCAAAGCGACGCGACTGGAGCTTTAAAATACGGCTCAATAAGTTACGATGCGATGCGACGGGGTCTAATATGCAGCGATGCGATGCGATGCGATGCGATGCGATGCGATGCGATGCGATGCGATGCGATGCGATGCGGTACAAGCGGTAGGTTACATGACATGCGTGCGATAAGGTGCGATGCGACCCGATAGGATATGATATGCCGCGACGCTCAGGCGCTGGGGCCGTGGCGTCGCAGAGATGTCGCAGCGACACGCAAGTCACGTGCGCGGGCGGAGAAATGCGTGGGCCTGCGCGGCTCGTGCGCCGAAATTTGTGAACTCACGGGGACTCACTTCGTGGGGCCCGCGACATAGTTCTCGGAGTTTCGCGCCAAACAGGAGAGAGTTCATGACGAAATCTGACGACCCTTCATTTCCCCTAAAGCGCTTTTCAAATGATTCCTCTCGAGAGAAACTATTTGGCACAAGATCATGGAGCATTTAAAAATGTTTTCATTTCGTTAGCTATAAATAACATTTTCATCGGCTAACGATGGATTATTAATTTTTAACAAAATTCTTAGTGTGGCTGAGATAGATACTGATAAATATTAAAAAAAATAACTTCACTTTCAGCAAGCTCCTTGAAATCGGGCCAGCAGCGAAAATTCCTACAAATTGTGCAAAATTCACAATTTCATTTTGTGAAAATTACAATGATCACTTTCGTTGGCATGAAGACAACATTTGAGTATACATTGTCACAGTGAATGTAGTGTTGACAAATATTTTACATATACTCCAAAAATATTTGAGCTTTAGATTACACCTATAAAGTTACATTTTAAAGCATACCATTCACTAATGTGAAGGAGCGAAAGTGTAGCATACAGATTAAGATACTCGCTGATAATATTTTCCCTTTCAACCCCCCCCCCATCTCAGCGTATCGTGAACGAGCTAAGCGCGTGCGTCGCTGCTCCGAGCGAGTGGGTCGAGGGAGGGGCTTGAGAGGGGAGTGAGTGGGGTGTGGGCGAGGCGGGGAGTCAACGGCTGAGGAAGAGCTGCGTGCAGCGTCGAGGATCTCCGCTGACGAGGAAGCGACGTCTTAAGCCCCCGTCAAGAACGGCAATAACTGGAAGAGGATGCCGCAGACGAACACGAATTGGGAGTGGACGTAGCGAAAGAAATCATATTAAATGGCAAACAATGGGAAAATGGAGTACGAGGGGAACCATATGCTTTTAAATCACCAGGATGATGATTCGTTAATAATCTTAGAAAAGCTTATTAAAAAATTTGATATACAGTTCACAGGTTTGATATTACCCGAGTAATGGAGTAATAAAAGTAATAATACCAGCGGAAGTTAACCACTAGCACTTAGTTGACTGATTAATTAGTGTTTCCGGGCACGTCAACTACCAATGTAATTTATTCCGTAAGTATAGCGCATGCTTTTTTTTTTATCGCGGGAGGTGTCTGTGATCTTCCCCGCTGGATGGAGAGGTCCGGCGAAGAGAGGTCGGCTGGCGGTGATTTTCCCCAACCAAGATCTTCCACGAGCAAGGGACCGCCCTCGACGTGACAAGCTTTATGTTCCCCACTGGACTTCCGACATGTGTGGTAGCGTAGTACATGTGAGTGTAGAAGCGATAGAGTAAAAGATGCGTATAGGACAAGGAAGAAGGAAAGATTGAGCACGGTCTGTGACCCGTTTATTAGGTTACTGCTCCGGCATTCGCCTGGTGTTGATTGGAGAAACCACGGAAAACTACCGATCAGAGCAGCCGGCTGCTTGAATTTTCCTCCAGACATCGACTGACTATGTAAATAGGGACTCGAAACCTAGGATCTCCCGGTCAGAGGCAATGACATCAGTTGATGACCGGAACACCTTAGCCGGTTTTAGTACTTTGATTAAAATTGAAAAATGTAACAATGTAATTGAAATATGTTAACAATGAATGCGTAGTTACTTTTTCACTTTTCTCTGTTAGTTTACAGGGATCATAATAAAACTGAATATTTCATATAAAGAAGAAACAGGGGGCATGTGAGATAAGATGCTAATGCTTCACGACGTGTGGCGAAAGGGACAGGAAGTGAAACAGACAACGCGCGTTGTTTTGAGATGTGGGTTTTAGTGTGATGACCCTCATTCTCAAGCTTTCGCTGTTAGTAGGGCTCGTGCTTGTGCGCTTTTGTGAGTAAATATTTACTTCCAACAACGATGACAGTCATAGTAAGTGAACGTGCACTTGTTTTCGTCATTTCTGGCACTCTCGTCAATTTAAAAATTTATTAGTTCTTGGATATAAAATGAAGGGAATTTACAATTGGGAGCAGTTTGTTCTTCACATGTGGAACAGGCATTTTAAGAAAACACACAGGTGTAGGTGTGGCGAACGGTGAGGGCAGCGGTGGATTAGTCACACACTTTCCCTAAAAATTTGGGCTTACATTCCGTCTAATCACGTTCCATTCCGAGGAGACGTAGTATCCACTAGGAATCCAACCCAACTCCACTTGGAGTTGCTGCAGCACGTGAGTCTATCCAGCAACAGGTCTGAATCGAGCAAAGGCCCCAAACCAAATGAATGATAAATAGTTGCAGGATCAAGTATTCCATGTGGATATAGGTGTTGTGGTGCGTTATCGTTGGTATTTCTTATGAAATAATTATAAACGTTGTCATTGCCAACAATAGGTAGTCTTTTTTGTGGCTTCCATTCAGCAGACAACTGATGATGATGGCTAAGCCATCGAAAGCTGCTCTTGTAATAAATACTATTGTTGGCAATGACAACGTTTATAATTATTTCATTCCATGTGGAGTTGGGCTAGAGGTTGGATATGACTGACTGTAAAATATATTAGTAAGGTGTGTACAATGTTATATCAGTTTCGTTTTTGTTTGTTTAGCATATAATATTGCTGTGGATGAAATTTCATATTGATGTCTAAATGCTTTGTTTTTTTTTGTTTGTACACTAGCCCTGATGAAAAAATTAAAAGATTTCAAAACATTGGCAAAGTAATTGTTTAATTATTCATATTTCGACCAATCCGATGAACCCCTTGATAAATAATATTAATAATAATGATAATAATAATTATTACAATTTAGTAAGTGAAGAAGCACCGTACGTGACATTTGATGCGGTACATTTTCTGATCGGTGCAAAGCGAAGACCATCACAGCTTTTGCGCTCAGGATTGCTAGAAAATTATCTGACAGACCTGAAACCCCGGGAGCAGCTACATTCAACCCAGCCAGACTGCAGAGAGTGGCAGCGACCCGCCACAATGCATTGCCTCTATCATATTTAAGACTGGCGTGTACGTGTGTGTAAGAGGTACTCACTTGAAGAGGTTCTCTGCACCGGCGCGCAGGCGCAGCTCCTTGTTGATCTCCTGGTTGAGCTTGGAGCGCTTGCTCTGCAGCTTCCCGCGACACGTGGCCACGCGCGGGTCCGAGCCCTGCAACACACAACCACCGCACTCAGTCCACGGAACGTTTTCATATCAGGCCTACAAGTATCACACATGCATATCCGTTTTACTAAACAGGGAAAATAGTGCGCAGAAATCAACTTATATGAGTATTTTGTGGAAGGGTTATCACTCGTCGACCGTCAAATTGTGAGTGGTTACTTATGTTGTGGGTTTTAGAAATTACATTCTTTTAGAGGGTAATTTTCTAATTCACAGTTGGAATTAGTGTTGCAGATATCCAGTTTACCTAGCAGCTTCCTGTTTATTACTTAATTTTCGTCGACACAAAACAAAAGAAAGAACATATAATGGTTAATCTTTTCTAGTGCAAAATGAGATATACGAACTCCACGTACTGTTTCAAAACAATAGTATATTCACAGGAAGTAACTTTTCAGAAAAAAAAGTAAGAGTTTAAATGGGGGTTGCGGAGAGAAATAGGGATTAGTAGCAAGACGAGTCAAAATCTAAACATAAAATGTTAATTACAGTAACAGTGATAAAAGGAACAAATATATAAAACAGAGAATGTTCAAGGGAAAAGTCCTTCATGCGACAATGAACATTCGGAGAGGCTAACATACGCTATCTTTAAATATTTCTCTCGTCACACTAAAGCGCTAAAAAGTTCACAGGGTTTCGTGACATTTGCAAAGCAACATGCGTCGAGAAAATTTTCATGTGGCGCCTGTTTTACTCATTTTAGAGGGAGCAGAATTGCCTTCTTGTTAGACATTACAAAGATGGGGTGTTTTTTTTAATATGAGTATTTTCCTTTCAAAAATATGATCATAATATGTTTCTGGTCAAAAATATTTTGTTATAATCAAATATTGCAAACATTAAAACAAAGTAAATAAAAACAATTAAGCCAAACACCAAACATAAAACATTAAATTAGAATGTCCATTCATTTTTTTCTGTACAATGAATCACTCTTGATCTCTACAAGCTTTCGAGCTCGAGACTTAAGTCAGATATTTTATTGTCTGAAAAACTAGTTCACAGCTCAAATAAAATTTTAGATACCCTACCAGAAAAATGTTTGAAACATCCTCAATGTCTCGAATCTCAATTACTCTAATTCTTCGATATCTAAGTTTTCCTCATTTGTCATCTCCATCTCCACGCACATGTTCCATAAATCGGACATCTCAAGGTCGAAATCTTCAGCAAGTAGGCCTTTTCTTTTCTCCTTAAGAACCGAAATATCAGGCTTTAATAGCAGACGTTCCGATTTTGAGCTTTTTTGATACATCTTTGATGTTGTTTTTAATCAAATTGCCTCCACGCAGACGACGGGGCTGGACCGGCCGGTACAAGCGTGAGAACGGTCGCGCTAGTCCGCCTCTTGAAACATCAAGCAGCACCGGGACTGGCCGTTGCCACATTGCGGATGCTTCACCCCAATTTTTATCATCATGTTACTGGAAAACTCTCATTAAAAACTGATAAGAGTTGACTTTTCTTAAATCATTTTGAAAATTATTCTTTAATAAAACAATATGTAATATACAACAAACACTTTAAGTTTCGCTGCTAATCGCAACCACTGCTAATCGCAATTCCGCACTGCTACGACAAATTCAAACTACTTGACAAAAGTAGTAATATCTATCTGGTTGATACGTTAGCTGATATAATCTTCTAGAAAGGCAGGAACCTTGATTGTAGAATTTTTATTACATTTTCTAATTTATTTTTCAGTTGTTATTAAAAACTACAACCACTTTATGCGAGGAAATATTTTTATTGAATCGTGCATGTTTGGAGAATGGTTCTAAGCCATTTGGGGGCAAGGCTTTTCGTGCATGTGGCAACCCTGGCCGATGCGCCTGGACCAGTGAACTTGCACGCGCGCATGTACGCCGAGACGTACGGCGCGCACTCGCTTGCATCAGCAGATTTACAAGTTGCGTACAGTCTGGGAACTTGAAGATCCCGCTGGGAAGTTACCGGGCGTAAGTCGGTTAAGCTGCATAGCCGCACCCCACTAGCAACAATTCGCGGGGGGAAAAGATGAAAGGCGAGCCAGAGAAACAGCCTGTGGCAGAGGATGTTTTCCAAATTTCTGATATTCTCGCTCACATGTTTATACATTTCCTAACGTCAACCCACACAATTTTCGTGTGGTTTTCGCAAAGAAAATGAGATAAGAGATTCACGATCCCCTATTGTGAACTCAAATGTGATTAAAAACGGTTACTAGTTTCTCTAATAATAAAGGAAGCCTTAGACAATATTTTCATCCGTTTACTTTACACCGTTCTTTACTTTGTTTCAACAAAATTAATAAGACACACATCAATCCGTGAAATTTTCGGAACAAACAATATTGAATTATATGTACCTAGTTTAATGTGTGTATAGTACGCATTAGGTATAACTGAAGAAAATGTAGTTTAATATACTTGAATTGTTGAATGTTAATAATAATAACGCAATATATACAAAAGAGAAAACTAATATTATTGATTAATTTCTAGTGACCAAGTTCTTTCGTCGTTTGCTGTGTCACTGCTGACCTTTCGGGCAAATAGCAGAAAGCAACGATGCTTGTTGCATAGAACGTAACGATTCAGAAACGCATGCTTTTTAACTCGCCAGACTGTACTATGATTTTTTTCCTCTCACGTTTCCTCACGAACTGTCTGGGAGGGGTAAGTAATGCTTAAGATAGGGACACAAGGGTCTCGGAAGGTATGAAAATCACAACTGGAACCGAACAGAAAATAAAAAAAGGAATACACGAGCGATCGAACGAGAGACGGTGAAAAAAGAAAAGCCAAATAATGGACTATAAACATACTTATTACTGACGGTGTTGGGCACCAGGAAAACACACACTGGAAACGAGACACAGGATCAGAGGCCAGAACGCAATCGAAACCTCGCCGTGCTGTCTGGTAAAAAATATGATGCTTTCGATGTGCCTCCGCGACAAGTACACTCGGTCTCAAATTATTATGCCTCAGAAACAAGGATAACGTAAAGATACACTTCAATACATACTAAGGTGATAATGGTCAATAATGTGCATTTCACAATACAAAATAATTTCTTCAAAAGTAAATTTGCTGAACCGTTATGAACGCAGACTTGACAGTTTTCAGGAATAGCGCAACCTTTATTTTTTTTAATATTTTCAGAAAGAAATGAAGATTTATTTTAGTGGAAAGGTAGTGAAATTCGCCTCTTCCCAACACTCATTACATTTTACCAAGATAATATTTATCGTCATTCAAGAAGAAATATTTAATTTTTTTGCTATAAAAACTGTTTTATACACAAACTGTATAAACGAAAAAAAATCGATTACATTTTGACAATCTGGAAAAGTTACGTCAACAATCCGATTATTTAATTTCGTCATTGTAACTAGGCTTTCAACGAATGTATTTTTCACGCAATTAAAACTGCATTGCATCATTACATTTACCGCGCACACTGAATTCCTCATGTACCGATTTCACTAGTACGACATTGAGCCTGCAGCGCTCTCTCAACTGAAATGGAGTATGGGACGAATTCCTTCCAGCGATCGAAACCTGGCGCAAAAACGTGGCCACCCGCCGCTTTCGACAGATCCCGGCTGTCTGTCCCAAGATCCCCTTCGCGTGAGCAATCTCACTTGCTCACTGGGCAACACGTGCGCGACGGAGCACTCGAAGACCAGAACCAAAGGGCACGTTGCTCGGCTTTAGACGAAGAATTCAATGCCTCTGGACAGATGACAGGAAAATAATCATGAAAAACACAATTATGTTTTTAGCGCCTACAAAGATACTAGGAAATGTATTCGAGCAAACTAAACTGATAATGTCACAAATACATTATTTCATTTTTATGAATTACATGTACGTTTCATTACTGATCATCTAAATTGTCTCATACTCGTACCCCGGCCACGTGACGTAAGATGAAGTTCAACGTTAGCGCAACACAATGATTCGCATCAAATTAAGGGTGTGTTCTTCATCATATAGTGTACGGTGTATTTTCCGCAGCTTGCTGCTGTTGACAATCTTTCTGAAGTCAATTCCATGGGACAACAAATAAAAAGTTCAGATCGTAGACTTTACATCAGCATTGAACCATTTTGGAATTAGATGAAAAAAACTTAGAATGGTCGAGTTTATTTATGTAATCACGAGTTCGTTTCTCTAAGAGAAGGAGGCCTGGTACCTAGTGATTGTACGTAACGACGGCGATTAACCACACTCTGCTAGCAATGTTCTGTGCGTTAGTTATCTTGTTGTGGGATCCATGTAACTTTTACTTCGCGCGGTTCGTAATTTCGGCAGACTGGTACATAATCCTTGCAATCGATTGCTCGTGGACAGCTGCACGTGGTTTTCAGGTCCGTGATCTATTGAAAAGGCCGGCGCAACCAAATGACACATATTTCACAAGTTTAAAAAATCTTACAATTTCTATAAAAATTGAAATTATTCATTTCATCATGTTGGTTCTTCCAGGACACCTAAAGACACTATAACTCCACTTTTATCGAAAATTAACATTCGTTTTGAAATTGATGGATACTCTCAAAAGAGTAAAATGAGGTCACGTTTTATTTTGTTTTAAAATAGTTTTCAAAATGAAAAACAAACATACAATTTAATAAAAGTAAATTATGAGGAAGAATAAATAATTTGTATCTCTTGAACAATGATTGCTATGGAGAATACGAGAATTGTTTTCTCTTATGCCTTTCGTTTCTGGGTGAGAGGAAAATGCGGTGGCTGGGGTAGGGCGGGTCGGAGCGATAGAGGGCGGCGCGGGGACCGGGGCAAGGAGGGGTTTGGCGGGGCGGAGCGGAGCGGGGAAAGGACAGGTGGGCAGAGCAGGGCGGAGCGGCCGGAGCGGGGCCGTGGCGGAGCGGAAGTCGTGGCGGACGGGGCGGGCGGAGCGGGGGCGGAGCGGGGCGGGGCCGGAGGGGACGGGGCGGGCGGGGCGGTGGCGGGGGATCGGGCGGAGCGGGG